TGAGTGTTGCCATTCTGTTATTTGGTAGACTGAGTGTCGCTATCCCGTTATCTGGCAGACTGTGAATCCCTGTTCTGATTTCTGATATATGTTTTGTTCTGAATTATAAGCTCCTTAAAGTTTTCGATATCTGTAAATGATTTATTATATTGTGAAGTTTCTAATATCTATAATGATTTGTTGTATTGTAAAGTTTTCTAATTTACATGTCATACTTATCTCTTATTCACGTAAATGCATGTTATTATTCAGTAGATCTATTGACTTATTTCTTATTTTGTTCTAGATTCAGAACTCGATACTTAGTTGAATTGTACTGCTTAAGAGCAGTCTTTTGTTTTTGCTATTCTATTATTAATAGAAAAAGTTAGTTATTTCAACTCTATCAGATTTGTATTCCTAATTATGTTAGATAGCTCTATTTGACTACAATCAGGTTGTTGTGGATATATCAAATTTTGGGATATTATTAAAACTAGGAAGACTCAATTGATTGAAATAAAAAGATTAGGGGTCCAATTAAAGATACTAGGGATATAATTGGACTAAATCAATTTTCGAGCACCAAATTGGAACTATCCATGAACATCAAGGAGCAAATCGAAGGAAAGTAAGAAAATCAAGGACCAAATATTTAGATCTAGAAAATTTGCTCAGAAGGCCCGACCTTTTCCTTTTAAGCGACCAATCACGCAATCTAGTTTGATTGTAGCGATCGGCTTGCTTGATTTGTCAATTGTTTCGCACATATATCAAAATAAGTTTGTCAAATCAAAATCCCTAAAACAATTTGAGAAATTATAAACTCAAATCATCAAATTGAAACGAAATTCCTTCTTAGATCGTCACAAGTACACAATGCAAGAACTTCTCAAATTCCTCCTTCCCCGACCGAACCAATGTGACCAGTACTCACTAGGAATTCGCCAAGCTTGGATGAACCAGCCTACAAGGAAATTATCAAGTAAGTCTTCTGATTGAGCTTGAATTTTGAAAAGTTTATAATTTGGGTATGCAGGAGACCCAAGTGAGGAATCATTCTCTGCTAGATCCAATTCATGGAACTGGGTCTAGGCTGTGGGCTTGATGGGTTGGTTACAGGCTGAATTGGTAATTGGGTCAGATTTAATTGGGTTGATCTGTAATAGTTACTGGACTTGGGTTTCAAAGTGGGCTAGTCAGTTGGGTTGGATATAAACCTAGGATCGGAGCCCAGAATTTAAAAAAAAAATAACATAATAAAGGAAAAAATAAGAAAATGAAGGAATAGATGAAAATTGGCCATTTCACAGGAATTCGAAGTGGTTCACCACCTGTTCAAGGTAACATAAATTAGATAAGCTCTTAAAACTAAACAGTCTAATGCCAGTTTAGTGATAATATATTTGTTTTAGGCCCAGTTCAAAGGATTTTGTACATGAACCAGGCTAGTTCAATGAATAAAGGGTCAGTTTAGTGACTTATAAAGTTGGTTTAATGCTTTTCAAGCTGGTTTAGGGCCAATTCAGTAAAGTAGAGGCCGGTTTATGACCGGTTCAATGGCATGATGGCCGGTTCAACCTCTTAATGGTCTGTTCATAGCTGATTCAACCTTCTAGTAGTCGGTTCATGATCGGTATGGTACACTGAATGATAATTTTAGGGTTTAACATAATGGTTTTATATTTTATGAGATCAATTTAAGACTTTAAGGCTCGGTTCATGACTTATTAGTTGGTTCAGGATTTTAGTAGCCCAATACGGGTTTTGGGTACAAAAATCTAGAGATTTACTTAGATTAATTATGTTTATTTGATTTCTATATGTATTAGCAAACTGAAATAACATATTTAATTATTTAAATTTTCTATATGGTTTTGGTTGAGTCTATACATCGCAGGAGAGTGTTATAAACTTTGATTTTAAATGATATGTCTGATTTTTGAAATTTTGATTAAATTCGATTATAAAGTGAAACAAGGGACATATTTGTAATTTTTAAAATTGTTTGGAAATGAATATTTGTTAATGATATTTGACTCTATACTTGGAAAAAAAAACTATTTTTAAAGCAGTTTCAGATTCTAGAATACTACAACTAACAACAGTAGGCGTTAAACTAAGTACACTCTGTACAAAATTCCCATCTAACAGAGGAGGTGCTAGACTCTCATGTTGAACCGATATAAAAGACTTGTATATGTATATTCATATATGTGTACATGGGCATATGAAAATGCCAATTTCTGATTTCTATTATCTGGCAGACTAAGTATCACAATTCTATTATTTGGTAGACTAAGTGTCACCATTCTATTATTTGGCAGGCTGAGTGTTGCTATCTCATTATCTAGCAAACTACGAGTCACTATTTTGATTTCTAATATATGTTTTATTCTAAATTATGAGTTCCCTAAAGTTTTGATATTTGTAAATGATTTATTATAATGTAAAGTTTCTGATATCTGTAAATCATTTATTATACTGTAAAGTTTTCTAATTTACATGTTATACATGTCCCTTATTCTTGTAAATGCATATTATTATTCACTAGGTTTATCGACTTATTCCCTATTTTTTTCCAAATTTAGAATTCAATACTTAGTTGGATTTTACTACTTAAGAGCAATCTTTTGTTTTTGCTATTCTGTTATTAATTGAAAGAGTTAGTTATTTCAACTCTATCAGATTTGTATTCCTAAGTATGTTAGACAGTTCTATTTGATTACAAACAGGTTATCGTGAATATATTAACAATTTAGTTAAGATTATGGATTAAATTTTGTTTCTGATTTTATATGAAATTTTGGTTTAGTTATACGTTAAGTTATACGTTAGGCTTATAAGAATAGAAACTATTCTAACCCTTACGTCAATCACGGATCTATTTTTCTAAGTCATGACAAAATGACCAAAAGATATACTGTAAAGGTAATAATTCATCGCTATACATGTTAGAGCAAAAAGATGGATTGGTTCGAATTCTTTCCTCACTATTCTCTGATTTTGGATCTTTTGAGTTTTTCTAAGTTTTGAGCTGTAATTGTGGTGAAAATTGATTATAATCATGTTAATGATATATATGCATTCGTATATACTTTTTGATGACGTGAAAATATGTTTCTATACCTATAATGTAAAATTTGCAACAAAAATTTTTTTAAAAAAATGTTAAGCAAGTAGTTTAGTTGAAGTTTGATTGAAAGGTTACATATGGAGTTGTGTATTTTTTTCTTGTTGCTTTGCTGCGAAAATATCAAAATTCGAAGTAAAATGTAAACGATGCAAATAAGTAAATTACAATTGATAGTTATATATATCGTAACTCATCCGTAACGATATGTCTCTTCCTCCCAACAAAAGTGCATTTGTGAATCTTCCAACATTTCATTGACTATGTTGTCAATCAACAAGTTCTTTACACGTGTGATTTTCTTCTTCGGAAAGCTTAGGGAGAGAGAGAGAGAGAGAGAGAGAGAGAGATTTGGAGAATGGGCCATTTTGTATTCTTTGAGCGGCAACGTCTGTTTCAAAGTATTAGTCTTTGGAAAAATAAGCCAATAGGTATCTATTGTTAAAAAAGGGTGAAGGCACCATAGATTCAAAAGGGTAATTTTTAGGGTCAAATTTGGTGGGTAGTGAGAGAGCCCTCTCTTGCCGTAGTGCAAGCCGTGTCCATCACCTGGCTGAGGATCTGATTGAGGGCATCAATAAAAACTTTTATCTAACGGAGGAGGGAGAGGTTATAGTAATTGATAATGAAAACCTAGGGTTAGAATCAACAAAGTGAAAGGAAAAACATATCTGCGATGAGAAATACTGACCCGAATACGTGGGAGCCACGAAGAATACGTTGAGGATGACGTGGAGTTCTAACTATATAATAATTTAAAACCCGAATACGTGGAATCCCCTGCTGCACTTCCGTTTCAATCTAACAACACGCACAGTTGACGGAAGGACTTTGCTGAATAAGGGTCCATGCAGTTTTGAAATCAGCTATTGTAGCTGAATTTGAGCTTGAAAATTTTAAGAGATGAAAATTAAGTGTTTAATTAAATCAAATTTTGAAAACAAAAAATATGTTGAAATATGTCAATTAACATGTGCTTGATACCCAGTTTAAAGCCGGGCGTGCCTTTGAAAAGATTTCCTTCTGGAGCCGAGCCTTTAAGTATGAACATAGAAGTTGGAAAAGAAGAAACACATGGAATAGGGCAATGGAGAATTGTCGTGGGGTGGGGTAAATCTTTTGGAATTAGGGTTGAGGTTCGCATAACTATATGTTCAAAGAAGGAAAAACTTTAAGTCGGGAGGAAAATTAGCTAGGGTAGAATTCAAATAGGAATGCCGCCAAAGAGGATGAGAATGTGACAGGAATCAAGAAGACGAGAATGGTGATTGATTGATTTGATAATCATTTGAACTCAAAATGTTGGCAGTTTTTCTTTTTGACCATATATATTCAACACCTGATATTCAGAAAGTAATTAACAAAGAAAATTAGAAGAAGAAGAAGAAGGAAGGAAGGAAGTGATTCAGAAGGCTTTTTCTTACAAGATATGGATAGATACTATGATTAGATTAGATTTTATTTGTTTTTATTTTAGATTAGGTTTGTTTAATTTTGTTTTTAAAAAAAATGGTGAGATAAGGATTTGGGAGCAATATCCAATCCGGGTTCTTTAAGATTAGAATTTATCTCAAAGTCAATTGAAAGAAAATTTAAAAAAAAAAAAAAGAAAAAGAAATACTACGAAGTATGTTTTTTTTAAGAAAAAAAAAGACTTTCATTCATGGTCACAAGCAATTCTGAAGTAACAAGCTACCCTAGAAGTTACACTTCGCCGGAAAAACAAAAATCTTCAGAATTGTAAAAATAGGAAAAAAGGAAAAACAAAATTGCCTGCTTAACAGGTTGCAAGTTTAATTAGTTTTTTAATCAATGGCTCTAAGACTTCGTCTTATCTAATACAGTGCAATATTTTGATACCAACAAATTGTAAGTGGGTATTCTTGTGTTATGCATGCCCAGGATTGAGAGATAAAGCCTCCTGGTAAATCATATCCTTCATCCGTTCTTCTCCCATGGAGTCTTCAAAATCGAAGGAGAATGGCCTCGGACAGACTGGTTCATCAGCTATGTCGTGAAATCCAGCAAGATAAGGATGAGCTAACGCTTCCCCAACTGCAACGACAGACGAACTTTAACGTTAGAACCAGGAAAACCAGAGATGACAGTCTGCCAGGATAACGAAGCAAACCTGTTATTCTTCTAGTGGGATCAAATACCAACATTTTGTCCATAAGATCAATGGCTAACGGAGGGACATGCGGGAACATATTTGATAGCTCCTGTCGAGGATATTCAAAAAGCCGCCGGATGCATTTTCTTACATCCTCGTTTGGAACAAGCCTCAGATCTAATTCAGTGGGTGTCCCAAGAAGCTAGGGAAAATAAGAGAATCTGTAAGCATTCTTCCATGGTCAACTCTACTCAGAAACATATTTATGATAAAAGCCCCCTCGATCTTGCACAAGGAAGGAATTCGAGCTCGCATGTCAAGTTCGCCGCTTAGTTCGTCTCAAAATTCATCTCGGTATTAAAATACATAAAAAATTTTAGTAAGATTATTAAAAAACTCATTTACGGTAAGAATGACATTAAATCGAATTTAATTTGTATTTTATCCTTAAAATTTTGGATTGTGTTCATGTAAAATGTAAGTATGTATGTATGTAATTGTGTGCGCACGCGGACATATATGATTGTGTAGATACCAATACGAAAACTTTGAAGCCTATACACCAAATACAAGCTGATTCCTAAATTGTAGAGTCTACACCTTTCGGTATTTATGATGTCAATAAGCTAGAACTAAGAGATTATTGAAAAGCTTGGGCAGCTAGAAGGCTTGCTTAAAATTCATCTTACCTTGGTCAACAAGCGCAACTGGTCCACCCGACTTGTGCCGGGAAATAGAGGCTTTCTATTCATAAGCTCCATATAGATGCATCCCACAGACCACACATCTGCAGCAGCAGTATACTCTGAAGAGTTCAACAATAGCTCAGGTGCGGTGTACCATCTGCTGAAACCACGCTCTTTTATGAACCCATTCTCGAAAGATGGCCGAGGAGGACCAAAATTGCAGATCTTCAGATCACAATTCGCTTTCAGCAAGAGGTTGCTGGGTTTCAAATCTCCATGAATGATATTGGCAGAATGTATGTATTTCAGTCCTCGAAGGATCTGATACAAAAAGTACTGCAAGGAAATTAATTCATAATATTTGTGTTAGTTCTGATTTTCTTCAGAAAAGGTCCACCTCATGAAATGAAATCTCCAAGTAATTAACCAGCAGACGAGTAAAATGTGTTACCTGGCAGTGTTCCTCTGATAAACTTAGATCAGACATAATCACTTGGCGTAGATCAGTGTCCATAAGTTCCGTTGCAATATAGACATTAGAAAATTCTTCCCGCAGTGGTGGAGGAACTACATCTCTTAAAGCTATGATCTGATTCAAATTTTAAACATAAAAATTGAACGAAAAAATAATAGGTCATTGATTCGGAACCAAGTGCCATGGAAAATTCTCTGGACAAGCAAGCACAAATTTAGCCACAAACATTTTCGTGATCCAAATGGCGAAGGATCTTAATCTGCCAAAGCGTGCGCTTTAGCAACCACATAATTGTCAAAAGCATCGGCAACCTTCTTCATCGCAACCATCTCGTTCGTCTCGGGATTCAACACCGAGCTTCATTCCAAAATACATAATTAATAGAAAATTACTCATCAAAAAGTGAAATAACTCAAAGTCGCCAAAATAAAACCACAAACAACATCAGAAATTCAATGAATGAATCAATTACCAAACATTTCCGTAAGCACCGCGACCGATCGGCATGATCGGAGGGCGGTACTTGGAGGTGATCTCTAGGAGCTGGTAGAATTTGTTGTGCTGAATGAACTGACCTCCGTGAGTCGGAACGGCAGGAAAGTCCTGGGTTCCCGAAGAGTTTATGATGTCGGCCATTGCTCCCCTCCCTCCTCTCTCTCTTTCTCTCTCTAAATATATGTATTTTCTCTGAATGTTCGCTTTGGGTGTTTGCGTTTCTGTGAATTGTTTTATCCGGGTATTTATTCTCTCGCACGGGGAGGTGGGAGGTTTTGGGACTTGATTGGAACGGTAGGGGACTTTCCTTTTTGAATCGGCGACCTGGGAAGATCAACCGTGGCAGGGTTTCTTCATTGCTTTCTCGCGAAGTAACTCAACGGTACCTTGTTTTTTTCCGTGTCTTTTCTGAAAACAAAGGTAGCTGCCTCTTTCAAATTTAAGAGAGTGAGACCAAAAAAGGATCTGGTAATCGAATTTTGAATTACGCCATAATTTTATTAAATATGTTAATTTTGGAAGCGTAATGAAATTCATTCAAAAAATTATATCACTAATTTTTTTAAACAGGTATCAATATAAAAACTAAAATAAACAAATTTGATAAAATATAAAGAGTAGTTGAAACAATTAATTAATATATGTACTAAATTGAACAATATATATATACACACATAAATAGTTATTAAAAGCACGTCTTAGAGCTTAAAAGTGTGCATTTTTATACTTTTAGTCATATTTAACATTTCTAATTATATCTAAAAAAATTTTTAAGTAAAATTTTATAAAAACGTGCTTTAAAGTAGAAAAAACAATAAAATTGTGCTTTTACTAATTGATTTTACGCTTTAATCTTAATTTCATAATTTGTCATTATACTTACCCATTTCATTAAATGAATTGTTCTAGTCTCTATTTCAAGTAAGGGATAGTTGTTTTAATTTAATTCCCTATTTTTTCTTATTAGTCATACACTCATCTCAATTTTATATTAAATTTTTATGATTTGACTATTTTAGTTTGAATTATTATTTTTATTTATTATTTATGTTATATCAGTAATGTCTATACTTTATAAAATTATATATATATTTGTATATATGTACACACATATAAATATGTATATAAATTTTTTTATATGTATTAAATAAAATCTTCACTTTTATATTTTTGTTTTTGCAAAGTAAAAATGTTTTTAAGTAAAAATTCGTTTGATAATCTTGTATATATGTGTGTATATATCAAATTTAATATGAAACTCATTAATTTACCATATCAATTTGTAAGTAGCACAATCTAAATCCTGAACTTCAAGGTCAAGATTTATTTAGTACATATAAAGAATAATTTCAATTAAAATTTATGGGTGGTTTAATGAGTGCACCAAATAGGAAACAATGACCGCGCAATCTTTGGGATTTGGGAGAGGGGGATGGTAGAAGCGTGTAGAATAAATTATCTCTTAGAAAAAGGGTGGAAATATTAAATTGTGTTGGCCACTGGTGCAAAAACAGAGTGGATATTTGAATTAATATCATTTAGAAAAAGGGTGGAAGTATTAAATTGTGTTGACCACTGGTGGAAAAACAGAGTGGATATTTGAATTAATATCATTTAGATGAGCATTAGTATCCTTTCGTAGTAAATGGAAGGAAAATTTATGTGAAATTATCCTCACCCTTCATCAGAGTCACATTAAGTTAGAGAGCATATACCTTTATAATATTTTTAACAAGTGTATATATTATAAATTTATTATAAAATATTTCTACTAATTTTAAAATTTTGCACCACTAAAATTTACACCCACTAACCTTGGGTGTGTGTATATACAGCCATATGTCTGGTGGCAAGATTTTTCCTTTTTCACTCTTTTTTTTTCATTTTCAACAAATCTAAATGATTCTTTTTTGTACAAATTATTCAAAATTTTATATTATAACATCACATTTTAAATTCAAATTTTTAAGAATATCTAATCACCCATAAAAACTTGGACAATCCATGTGAACACATTATAAATCCTCTTTGCTGTTAAAAGAAAATGATTTAGTTGTGTGTTGTGTGGAATGATCTGAATGGAAATAATAGAATTAAACGGTAGGACTAACGATGGTTAGGTTGTGTTTGATAATACCTGGGATTAATAGTGAGATAATTTATAAGAAAGTATTTTTGTAAATTTTGATAAGCATTAACATAAAACCTTTTCCTGAAATTCAGAAAAGTGAGTTTTGTTAATAGTAGAAAGTAAAAAATATTTTATAAAAATTGATTTTATTTATGACAACCAATTTATTCTAAACTTTAACTAATATGCAATGTAAAAAATTCAATTTTTTATATTTTAAAAATATATGATATTTGGATTTTTTAAAATTAAAAGTTTTTAATTCTTTATGAATTTATTTTATAAAAAAAGTATTTCTCAAAAAAAAGGGGGCCTGTTTGTTTAGTCATGTTCTATTTTCAAAACAGAAAATAATGTTGACGAATTGTTTCTATTTTAGTTTCTGAAAATATTTCCTAAATTTGCTGAATCTTGAAAATAATAAAAAGTTAATTTTAATATTTTTCTATCTAACATTGTAAATGTAGTAACAAACTTATAATTAAGTTGATTTTTAATATATGTTGCAGATCCTCCCCCAACAAAAATTCTTCGTCTTCTACATTCATTGTCAACTATTTTTCTAGGTTCTTCTTGTATTTCATTTGCCTCTTAGGTTCGATTCTGCTAGAAGATCCAACAGTGCTTTGGGAAGGACCTTCAACAGCCAAACTGGAGTTTCTTTCTCCCCCAACTCCTCCTTGCTCTCCTATAATGGCCAAATTGAAAACAATGAGCCAAAAAAACACCATTCAAAGCCTCCTTTGCCATAGACCATAAATATGTAAAGCATTTTCCTGCCAATCGAAATTAGAATTGGCCCATGTTGACTTGATGACCAAGACAGGTCCATGTTCCCTCTTTCTAACGCAAAATCACTACCTTAGGAATAGATTCTCATCAAGCATAGAACTTTCCAAAAATAAAGATATTAGACTATTAAAATTTAAATTCATGTTTCAATTTGATTTTCAGAAGAATCATACATATAGAGAAAGATACAGGGGCCCATCTGATAAGTATTTGAAAATAAAGTTAAATATAGCAGGTTAATAATAAGACTTTCTTACCCGTACAATAATTTGGATTAGATCTCATTTTTGGTTCAATTTCACTCAATAGGATAAAAAATTAGATAATAACCCTAAATATTTTGATTTCATTCACTTGAGTCATTATTTTTAATTTACTGAAAATAAGTAAATCAAATATATTTTCATTATTTTCATTTTTTAAAAATAGAAAACAACAATTCAAAACAAAAATGCTTTCTAAATTTTAAAAATCTAAAAATGAAAACTATTTTCAAAAATAGAAATAAAAAATGAAAAGAGAATACATTTTCTCAAACCAAACAGACCCGTAGTAATCGAATTTTCAAATTACACCCTAAATTTTGTAAAATATGTTAATTTTGGTCCTTCCTTAAATTCAATTTAAAAAAATTATACCGCTAATTTTTTTAACAGGTATCAATAGAAATACTAAAACAAACAAATTTGATAAAATATAAAGAGTAATTTAAACAATTAATTAAAATATGTACTAAATTGAACAATATATATATATATATATATGTCAATTTTGATTTGAAACTTATTAATTTAACATATCAATTTGTAAATAGCACAATCTAAATCTCGAATTCAAAGTTTTAAGAATACCTAATTAACCATAAAAACTTGGACAATCAATGTGAACAGTTCCCAAATCCCGTTTGCTGTTAGTCTGGAGAGTAAGGGATTAAAAGAAAATGATTAAGTTGTGAGTTGTATGGAATGATCTGAATGGAAAGAATAGAATTAAACGGTGGGACTAATGATAACACTTGTCATTAGTATTATTTGTTTTGTAATCCCTTTCCTAAAAGTAACAATTCAGAAAAGTGAGTTTTGTAAATAGTAGAAAGTAAAAATATTTTATAAAAAATTGATTTTATTTACTACCTTTAAAAATATATATATATTTTAAAAGCATTTGATATTAATATTTTTTTGAAATTAAAAATCTTTCAATTCTTTATTAATTTAATTTGTATAAAATATCTCTCTTATACACGGCATCAAGACAGTCTTGGAACGACCTCTAATTGGGGCGGCTTGGAGAAGGGGGACGTCACCGATGGCGCCAGCAGCGACTGATGTCTGACGGAACCTTTAACGTTTTCTCGAGCATGTTAGTTGACGAAACCAGTGACGTAATCTCTTCTAGAAAGGGCAAAAACGTCCCCAGGGTAATATTTTGGAAGTTCAGTACCAAGGGCAGCGCCTGCTAAATACGTGCCCACTTGGAAATAATTTATTAGTTTTATTAACTACTCCCTTTTTAAAAAATAAAATAAATTTTTTTTGAAGTTAAAAATTACAAAATTTGAGTCTAAACTATTCATATGAAAAGAATTAACTGAATTTCGCTTACATAGTTTTTCATGCAGCAATCAAATTGTAATAATAATAATAACAATATAAAACTCCATATTATATTATTAGCTATGTTAGTTGGAAAGGAAGGCAAAATTATTATGTGATTTATTTTTTTGGCAAAAGACAAAATTAAAATGGGAAAATTACCAAGTCGGCCAGTGCAAAAAAATTAATGACCTGAAGGGTCAAAATAAAAATATTTTCTTGGATGGATCAAAAGCAAAAAAATTTAACTAATTAAGGAATTTTGTATCCTGGAAATGCCCTTGTTCACGTTGTTTTTTATTTCTCTCTCCTACCTGTCTGTTCTCGATTGTTCTCTTAGGCTGATCAGTTTCATCTTCCTTCCACACTAAAATCCTAACCCAATCACCGCTCTTCTCATCTAAGTACCAAACACTGAGCATTGAGCATCAT